ATTTGGGTGTGGATTTCTAGATGGGGTTCAGACATAAGGTGGGCAGTTCACCAGATGGACTTTGTTAGGCCTATTTTAGGGGGGCTAAAGCGACCCTAAAGTGGTCCCTTCAACCCCCCACAATAATAAAAAAAAATATTATTAGATTCCAATTTTTTTTTACAGTACAATAGAATAATTCAAATTCAAAATAATTTGTATTAATTGGCTTAAAATAATCGTTCGGGCACTAGGCTTTTAAGGGAGGCTGCATATCATTGTTTCTCTGCCGCGCAATGTTACCCTGAACGCACACAAACACACATACAGACATGGTGAAGGAAGATTGATTCAACGTGGTGAGTGATAGAGTGAAATTGTAAGTTGTGCTTAAATTTAGCCATGTTTACTTGAGGTAAAGGAAATATATTTTAGTTGGCTGTGTAAAACAACATACTAGTTGGCGTGAACGCCATCAATCTATATTATAGGATTTCAAAACAATATCAGTCCCCACAGAATATTGTTAGTGAAAACTAAATTTCATAGTGTCCCTGATAATGCTATATACCAGTATATCCTTCAATTCATTGACCAGATAGATATTGGCGGATGTTTCAGGAGAGAGAAAGAAGCAGGAGATTGGCAGTACAGGTGATTATACCCACAGATACACGAAAATATAATAAAATGAAAGCAATCATTTATACATGAATTCATACATATTGTAATTATTACTCCAAATGGTTTATTCCTTCCGCCATTAGGTTATTAAATTCAGACAGTAGCCACTTTAACTAGGATCCTTATCAGCCGCTTTCATAATAAAGTATCTATTGATAACACCCTTACTACTTTATTGGAAACCTGATGGAGGACTGTATACTGAAACACATAAACTCATTAGAAAAGGTCCATGTATAAGACAACCAGAATGAGACCTAAATGCAAACTCAGAGTCAGAGTCAGATGAACTTAAAAGATGCTCTGGTTCCACAAAAACACCAACTGCCTAAGGTGCTGCCTACACAGTATGCATTCAATCCAATGTGCAGGGGGATAGCAGCTCACACTGGGGATGATCTGATGGAAACCAGCAACCTCAGCAAACATGCTGAGGGTAGAGTAATAAGAAAAATAACCATACGTACATATGCCTTGTGTCAACACGTGTTCAGGATTGCCTCTCTCTTTTTTTTTAAATTGGACAATAACACAAACACCTTTTCTCATTATACTTCCTTTATTTTTTATGCTTGCTTTTAAAATATTTTTGCTAAGACTTAAAGCCACATTTTTACACACTTGACTTTATTCCATATTGAAAGAGCATCCAGCTTTTTTATACAACACACATTCATTCTGTAACTATCTATGAAATATGTAAAAATGAATTTAATGCTTTTCAACACCGTTAATGAAATTCATTTCAAAAAGATAATTAGCACTTGTCCGTAGTCGATGGAAGTACCTTTTGCCTCAAGTACAGTGTTACATGTTTTTAAAGATAATTATGTGCCTTACATACATAATTATTGCTCTTTATTGCTATTCTGTTGAATCTCCTTAATAAAATCCCTATTAAATTAAATTTGAAGAGCAAGAGGGTGGACACCAACAAATGGGATCTGTCCTTTAAATATGGGGTCACAACCTGGCAACCCAGAAGTTATTTTACGTATGGTTATTAAAAGGGTAGTTAGTGACACCTTTTATAAAAATGCCCTATTGTAAAGTGATACTGTTTTTTTGATCCCTTCAGCGGATCCTGAGTGCAGTACAGAAGAACGCCACTAGAGGAGACCCTCGCAGCGTAGTCAAAGCCATCGATGATTTCTGCAGACACAAGGAGTGGGCCATGAATGTGGGGGATGAGAAAGGTATTTGTCATTATATGACTATGTGCTTCATGTGTAAAATCATTACCTTACTTGACCGCTGTGTGTTTTGGTATTTATTTTTCCTGTTTTGGGCCACAGGCTGTATTCTTGACTCAGTGGTGTCTGAGGTAAACCCAGCCACTGTGTTGGAGCTGGGAACCTACTGTGGCTACTCCACGGTGCGGATCGCCAGCCTGCTTCCCCCTCACGCCAAGCTCATCACTCTTGAATTTAACCCAGACTTTGCTGCAATTGCTCGACAAGTCATTGCTTGGGCAGGATTGAAGGAAAAGGTAAAGCCAGATGTCTCCACATAAACTGAAAACCAATGATTCGCATAGTGTGTGCAGGTCAGAAGACAGTGTGTGTTTCTTCTTTATAGGTCCAGTTAGTTGAAGGAGCTTCTGGTGACTGGATCCCCAAAATGAATGAGCAATTTGGTGTGAAACATTTGATTTGGTTTTCCTGGATCACTGGAAGGATCGGTACCTTCCTGACACAAAACTGATGGAGGCAAGTTTGTGAAGCTCATTTTATACAGATCAAACTCTTGAATTTTCTGCCATGACACCCTCTTTGCTTTTTCATCAGGAGTGTGGCCTCCTCAGGAAAGGCACCATCCTGCTGGCAGACAACGTCATCTGCCCCGGAACTCCAGACTACCTGGAATATATCCGCAGCCCGAGATACAAAAGCCAGTACTTCAAATCTCATCTGGAGTACACCAAAGTGGAGGATGGCTTGGAAAAGTCTGTCTTTTTAGGGTAGTTTTTAACAGAAACTGTCATGTTTTACACAGGTTATCTTCACAGAGCAGACTTAAAATCAGGAGTTAAATGTTTTTCTAATATGTATTAGTGTGTTAACTTGATATTAAAAGTAGCATGTGAAGGGAAACCAAATAGTTTGTTTGTGTGCTTTATTTTTCTAACACCTTAATGGAAATCCCAGTTCTTGATGCACTCTCTCAGAGGTCTATAGTGGTACAGTAGGCGGCAGTAGCAATACTATGTTCATGCATGTAATTGACAGATAATGAGCTATAAACTGATCCTGGGGCTGCTTTTCCCTGAGCATCGACTCAAATCAATAATAAATCTAATCCAGCATGCATTCTGTGTTGCAGAAACCTCTTTTCTACTCTGTTATCCTCCACCATTATGCTAGTGTTGACAGGTGTGTGAGAGTGAGCGTGTGTGTGGTGTCAGTGTGTGTGGCGTGAGCGAGTATGAATCAAATCGCTGCTTATCTAATCTCCTAAAGTGACAGAGTTCCATCATGGGTGTGGTGGCGTGTGTGTGGGGGGGGTGCATTTGGTTCAGCTGTATGGGGGGAAAAAAAAATGGGCTAGTCCACCTAGTGCTTTCTTCACAGACGCCTGCATGATAATCCCAATCTGTGGCCATTAGTGCACGGGAACGAGCAAGGAAAGAGTTCA